ACTCCTAGAGAGTAGAGTTTTGGCATATATATATATTCAGGCTTGATGCTAAAAATCGAAATTTATGGTTTACTTGGGTTGGATTTTTCCGGTGCGTGTTTGGCGGCTACCTTTTTTTTTTGGGTTATCTTTTCGTTTTTTTCGTTGTTTCAGTCTTGGAAGGAAATCAAAGCTCTGTCTACAAAAACTTAAATACGTGTTTAGTTAAATCTTCCTAGGGTTCCTGGTCTCGTTTTCTCTCTCACACTCTCTCTCTGGCAAGTTTCCGCCGCTGTTACAGCCATGGCCGCAGTCACTTCTTCTGATAGTATCCTTTCTAGTTTCCCTCCTCTGGGTATGCCTTCCCCCCTCTGCTTTATAAACCCATCTAATCGGTCTTTCGATTCGTAGGTAACCTGGGTTCGTGTTTGTTGTTTTCGATTTTTTTTTTTATTGTTGAAGGTTGTTGTTTTCGGGGTTTTTTGATTGTTCTGTAATCTGGGTTCTCGAGATTTTGTGCGAAATCTTGTGTAAGGTGGATTTCTTGGGAGATTCTTTTGTGTTCTGTGCAGGAGGGTTTTGCTAGGGTTTTCCTGTAACGAAGATGGTCAGGAAGGTTTGGGTAAAGATGGTTCCTTTCGTCTTTTATCGTTGAAATCGTGTTCCTAACGTTGTCTTTTGGTGGATCTGTGGTTCATTTATAGTCATGCTTTGGTTCACTGTCCAGTGATTGCGTTCGCGTCTCGCATTTTGTTATGGTTTTGTGATGGGTTTATGTAAGAGGTCGTTTTCTACGGTTTTACTCAAAGAAAAAGAGGACATTTAGTTTTGATTGTAAGCATCGAAGCTTAGAATAGGGTTTATGGCCAATTATATGTTTGACATTCTTGCAGATCTGAGGTTTTGATCGATGGAACCGTGTTTATCTCCACTGATGTAATTTTGTGACATAATGTTGATTCTGGTTGATTCGTCGAATCATTGATTGTTGTTCATTCACTTTTGGAAATACAGAAACTGAAGATCTGCTGCACAACTTGTCGCTTGATTCAGAAGCCAAGACTGAAGCCCCTGATGCTGGCAATAAGGTATATCATATGCCTAATGTGATGTGTTTATGCTCAGATGTTCTGTCTGCCGAGCTAAATCTTAAGATTCTTCTGCATCATGACTGAGTTTGCTGTTACTCTTATTATGTATGTTGTCTTTTATTCTCTGCTGTGTATTTCTCTGGTTATAGAACTCTAAAGAACTGTTTCAGAGTATTTGTGCTATTCCCCGTTTCGGGTTTTTTTGGTGCCGGATTAGTAGGCTGTTTTTGAGTCTCCTTGGAAAAAATTGTGTCGGGAATGATTTCACTCTCTTTCCTTTTCTTGGCAGGGTCCTTATGGTGGAAACAGTAATGCGTTTTTGCTTCCCTCAGAACAAGTTTCTTTGTCAGCGGAAACCCCCGAAAGTGGCAAACCTAGTTTTCTGCCAAATGGTGGAGGTAACCCTGCAAATAAGGGAAGCCAGAAAAAACTCAGTTACCAGAAGAACCCATCTTTTAACCCGAGGGGTTCATATGTGAAAGGCTCCTACCCGGCAGGTTTTTATTCACCAGCATATCATTACCCGAGATATAATTATGATGGGAATTTATCTTCGGGAAATACCAACAGTCTTCATCATTATCCGAACCTGGTATGTTCCCTTTTTTCATGATTTAGCTTGGTTCATGGCTTGGTTTTGATCTATGATTTTGTTACCGAATGATTTGTTCTCAACTTATTGCAGAACACACATCAGGCAAGATCGACGGGTACGTCCCAATCGTTTGGATACATGGACAACATGTACTTGAATCATGGGATGTACGGACCTTACATGAATGGACTAGGGCCTGGCTATGGTTATGGCCCTTACAGCTATGATACCTGGAAGCAACCGAATTGGTATGCATCTAACAATGGCTACAGGACAAGACGTCATGGAGACCAAGGGTATGGCAAAGAGAACATTGATGGATTAAATGAGTTGAATAGGGGGCCACGAGCCAAGGGTTTCAGAAACTCAGAAGATTCTCAGTCGAAAACTCTTTCTTTGAAGGAGCAGAATGTATCTGGAACTGAGAAACCTGAATATGTGTCGGTACCTGATACAAAGGACTACAACAAGGAAGATTTTCCAGAAATCTACTTGCATGCAAAGTTTTACGTAATTAAATCTTACAGCGAAGATGATGTTCACAAAAGCATCAAATACAACGTATGGTCCAGCACGCCTAACGGTAACAAGAAGCTGGACTCTGCATATAACGAGGCGAAAGAGAAGTCAGATGGCTGTCCTGTATTTCTACTTTTTTCTGTGAGTATGAATGAACGGTTCTAATAATGTTATCGGCGTTCCATCTCTAACTGAATGAATGGTTTCTGATCCGGTTGAGTTTTTACAGGTAAACACGAGCGGACAATTCGTTGGCTTAGCCGAGATGGTAGGCCCAGTCGATTTTAACAAGACTGTGGAATACTGGCAGCAGGACAAGTGGATCGGCTGCTTCCCTGTTAAGTGGCATATCGTTAAAGATATACCAAACAGTTCTTTGAGGCATATAACTCTGGAGAACAATGAGAACAAGCCGGTTACGAATAGTCGGGACACTCAGGAGGTCCGGTCTGTCTGTTCTTTCTCTCTTTCTTTCTTTGGCTTCTCGGGCAATTGAATGTTGACAAATAGTTTGCGGGGTTTTTTTTATATATCTGCAGGTGAATCTAGAGCAAGGTATTAAAATCATCAAGATTTTCAAGGATCATTCAAGCAAGACGTGCATCCTCGACGATTTTGCGTTCTACGAGTCTCGTCAAAAGGTTATTCAAGAGAGAAAAGTCAAGCACCTGCAGTTCAAGAAACAGGCAAAGCAATCTTCCCTCTCCTTATAGAGAGAGAGTGCATATATTGTGGATTCTTGTTTAACGTGTCTGATTTTTTGTCTGAAGCAGGCTTTGTCTACGAGTGACAACAAGGAAGGCATCAACGGGACATTGACAAAAGAAGAAAGACAGAAAACCAAGGACATAACTGCTTCACAGAACGCAGAGGCAGAAGCCGAGCAAGCCAAAGAGAACGGATCTGCTGTCCCTGAAAATGTCGATGTTGCTAGCGCTTGCTGATTTGGTCCGGTGTGTTTTTTTTTTTTTTTTTTTTTTTGGGTGGAAATTGCTGGTTGGGGGGCTTTAGGAAATTAGAGCTTTTTTCTCTTGTTTGTGGCTTCTTCCCCCAATTTCGCCCACTTTGTTTTTTTTTTGGAGTCAAGTTCTGAACTTGTGCCTTAGTATAGGATTTTGGCCTCTCTTTTTTTTGTGTTTTGGGTTTTTTTCTGGGGTTTAAGGCGTAGAAGGTAGCAAAATGGTTGAAGGGCACACTTCGTCCTTGCGAAAGGGGGGAGAGAAGTGGATATGCCTTTGCTTTGCTTGCCTGTCCTTCCTTGAGATATTGCTTTTTTTTTGTGGTTTAATGGAAATCTCATTTCTTCTATTGGGGTTTAAAGCTTTTGGGTTTTCTTCTTTGGCATGATTTATATGAATTCGTGTAAGGAAAAATGTATCAGACAAATACGGTCCACTAATAGATGAACTGGTTCGTTAATGGCCCTATTCTATGAAATAGGGATCGAATTGACACCAAGATGTTGGGGTGGACACGGATGAGTATTCGGGTGATCGGTCTCGGTCTTGCTCCTTCGGATTTCAGGCAAAAACATGTGTACGTGTATACGCACATGTACATACATATACGTACAAATCTATACATACGCATACACATGTGTGTTTATGAAGGGCAAAAAGGTCATTACATCATCAAACCCTTCCGCAAAACCCTAGACCCCCGACCTCTTTTGCTCCATAAAACGCCGTCGAGACGCCCTCTGCTTTTCTCTCTATTTCTTGTTTCGTTTTTTTTTTCCCGTTCTCAGCGTTCTTCAATCTCTCCTTGTTGACGGCGTTTTTCAATAGAGATCGGCACTTTTCACTTTGTTTTTTCTTCATATTTCGTAGGCCCCGCCTCTTTGAGTAGCCGTATGAACCCTAATCTTAGGAAATTTTCATATATGGCTTAGTTAGGAGGCGGATATTAATCTCATCATTGATACGTTTCTGTATTTTTGGTCGATCCGACTTAGGCCTTTTGACGGGAAACTTGGTTGATTCGCTGTTAAGTTTCCCTTAACCAGGCTTCAGACAATTCCCCTGTTCTTGCATGTTCTAAGTTCTCTGTCTTCGAATTATTTTGTACATCTTCCGTGAAGTTTCGATTTTGATGAATCTCGACTTCTGGGTTTTCGAAAGATTTTGTTTTTTCCCCTAAAATTTCCCGTTTTTTTGAGTTGCGAGTTCTGGGCTCCTTGTTGATTTTGTTTTTCTTCCATAATTTCCCACTTTTGACGAATTCTGTGTCCGCGTATGTAGCCTCCCGAATACCCAGAAGGTGAAAATAAAGCGAACACCATTTGGTTCAGACAGAGGCTTATATGAACTCGAATCTGTTTTTGATGATAGCGAGGAACATGTTCTTTTTACTTCCATTGTTCTCTCCTTGATAGATTCGAATATATCATGAATTCTACAGTTTGTCCGAATATATTCGAATATATCATTGCGATGTGGCTTGTACGAAACTTGATAGGTTCTTCATTACAGCACAGATCTAGATATACAATGAACAAACTTTGCCTTTCTTTTATAAAGGGTGAGAGCAGTTAGCAGCAAGGTGGTTTATTTGATTAATAATCGAATTGATCTAATATTATGATTTCTTTAAAACTAAACATTCAATAAATACGAAAAATCAATTTTTTGAAAAGTGAATATTTTTGTTAATAAAAGCGGATGGAATGAACCGAATAAAATTAAATTCAATATAAAAACCAAACGATCTAATTGTTGGCTCATTGGGATCGAAGTTTAAGATAGGTAAGATGAAATGTTGTTGGAAATGTCTTGACATCGAGCGGGACAAAAAATGTCTTCCAATAGCTTAAATCAAAAGATCGAGTTGCCAACCCAAAACTGCAGGAAACTCCCATGAACGAGTTCAATAAGACTGTATTCTTCATCTCAAATGATCAAAAGTTCAATGGGATTGTATTCAGCCCTCAAATAACTAACAAGAATCACCATCTTAGATAATATAAAACATACCCAGGAAAACCGTAGCACGCCACGAACAGATGAACACGAGAACCGATTAACCAACCGACTCCTAGAGAGTAGAGTTTTGGCCAATGTTCAAGATCGGTAAAAGGTATTAAGGATGAAAGGAGAGAGAGATATAATAACAAGAAGCAGACCTCAGTTCTTTCCGGTGTTGCTCTCTAGTTCTTTCCTCAACTGAAGAGAGAAGTCGTCGTTGACATCGTCATCATCCCAATCGTCTTCCCACTGCTGTGTCATTTCCTTCACGTCCTCCCCCTTCTCCTCCCAATCTGCTCACCATCCCAATCATAAATCAGATTAGCCATAATAATCAAGTACTGACATGCTGCACATATCATTATCAGGACTGGATCTGAATATCTCTGTCAGAACTCAGAATGTACTAGGACAAGTTTTCTAAAATTTAGGTATATGAAGATGTACCTGAGTCCAAAAACCCTAGAAAACTCCCAGCTACCACAGTAAATACATTCATAGACAGAACTTATACAGGGGCCAGTAGTTATAAGAAGGAAAACAAAATGCAACAAGGGGCAAATAACTTGGCAACTATATATAATGCCAAAAGGGTAGTGTATAAAAACAACGTAACACAAATCTTAAGATCACCAAACAGAATCTATAACAACATTCCTCCGCCTCATGCACATCAGAGACTGCTGTTATCCATTTTGCTGCTATGATTATCAATTATGTCACCAAATTCAACCGATTTACCGGAACAAACATCACACATGGCATAGCAGATCATCTGAAAACTTAAACCGAGAAACTTGGATCGTGCATAGCAGATGAGAGTATGCATTAGTTTTTATACCTGGTTGGTACTGTACATATTTTGCCTCTTGGTTTAAGAAGAGACAACATATCCACATATGTCATATTAGCCAACTCGGAAATTTTTATATGGGTTTGTAGCTTGTTACCCATAAATTTTGCAAGATATCATGATGCACATAATGATGATATCAAAGTCATATGCATCCGAAGGTCGAGCAATGTTCATTCCAAAGCGAAAATCATGCTGAACGTAAGGATGAAAGCGAGGTCCTACGCTTCAAAGAAGTGAACAAATTCCGGGAAAATAATGAATGTTCATCCCAAAAAATCTCACAGGCTTCTATAGATTCCATCCCTTTTTAGTACCCATAGTAAGCAAATTGACGAATCTAGCAGTCTAGTGGATCATCCTAAGAATAACTAATTCACTGAAACCCTAACAAGGACTGAATCATAGAACCAATAACAGCATCACAGAAACCATTACCTTCGTCGATTTCGAATTCCTCAAACTCGTCATCATCCTCGAACAAATCCATCTTGACGTCTTCAGTCGCCGCCTTCGGCTCTGTCGCCATTATTGCAGATAATCTCAGGCAACTGTCGGAACAAGATCGAAAACCTACGGAGCCAACGACCACAAAATCCTATAAACTTCCAAAATCAAATCTCGCAGACAACAACGATAACAGAACCAAGCAGCATGAATCGAAGAAATCTAATAAAATTTCGGAACCCTAAGTAGGAAATTATGTTACTTACCGAAAGATTTCTCGAGAAGATGAACCCCTCTTTTTGATTGTTTGTTGCTTGAGAATACAGTCACATGGAGGCCTAAAAGCCCAATACATCAAGATGGTACTTTTCTTAAGAAGAAAAAAATCAATAAAATTTTTAATTCTAATATAATAATGTATAAACTATATTAAATTTTCAAATAGAATGATTAATATTTGAAATTATAAAAAATTATTACGAAAACATTAATTCAAAATTCCATCTTCAAAATCCTATTTGGTTAGACAACAACAGTGTCATGAAAAGTACATAATTGACATGTTAATAACACATAAATGATTTTATTATTAGTTTAAATGATTTGGTTTTTTAATTATAAAATATTAGATACCAACGAGTATTTTGCAATTTCCTGACTATGTAATTAATTTTCATAGATATTTACGAAATTGTCATTATACTTGTTTACGGAATTACTTTAAATCCTATTCACCAAACTAATGTAAGATTTATTTACAAAATTATCATTATATCTTTAGTTTTCAGTAGTATTTACCGAATTTAAAGTTGATGGAGAAAAAAGGGTTACATGGTGATGACAAAAGAGAAGGCATATTATAAAAAAAAAATAATGCAAAATATATGCATCATATATACAATAGTTCGAGTATTTATCGACCGATATACAAGATAATCATATTTTATTTACGTAAATACACAAGATTAAATTAAGTTTATGCCCTCGATCTACCATGCCTCTCGAAAACCGGTTTTGAGGTTGTCGGCGTCATTCACAGGTTCTGTCGTTAAGCCATGTCCAAACGGGAAGAGTGGATCATAATGGGAGTCCCCAATGTTCATAGGGAGCTGATCGACATTCTTGAACCAAGTTCTTGGCGATTTCCCCTTAAAACCGTAATCTCCGAACAGAACATCGGCTATTCCTTGTCCCTCTGATCCCGGTAACCAAGCTGCAACTACGGAATCCATCGTCGAAATGTATGGCTGAAGTACGACGGGCCGACCCGAGATAACGATCACTACGCATTTCATGACTCCGCAGACGTTCATGATCGTTCTTGGTCCAGGATCTGCAATAGTCAAGCTGGTACTGTCCCCATCTGATTCCGCGTACGGATGTTCGCCAACTACAACAATGGCATGAGAAAACTCGTTCGATTTCACAAAATCGGCACTCGGGTTTTCGGAGTAGATGACTCTTGTTTCTGGATCAACCGTGTTCTTGACGGCCTTCAGTATTGTAGTACCTGTGTCAGCAACGACACAAGAAGGTGAGGAAATTCTACTCGATTTCAGAGCATGTATGTGCCGAGTTCGGGAAGTAATCTTTTACTAAAACCTTCGGTGAAATTGTTGCCGTTATGTCCTTGCCATGTTATTGTCCACCCGCCGCATTGGTAACCAAGATTATCCGCGTGGCTCCCGGCTACAAGTATTTTCCTTGCCTTCTTCGGAAGAGGAAGCAGAGGCGTGTCAGCAGACTCGCCGTTCTTCAGTAGCACAAGCGATTTTCTCACCGCTTCTCTTGCTAACTCTCTATGATCCTGTTCCATAAAATTTTTGGGGTATGATATGGATGCTAATACAAGTTTTTGTATTGATCGACAATAGTATATAAGCGGTATTTCGCTGGACCGACCTGGCAACCGAGCTTATGGACAAAGCTAGTGTCAGCAAAAGGCTCTTCAAACAGACCCATGGTGAACTTTACGCGCAGGATTCTCGTCACAGCATCGTCTATGCGGCTCATAGGGATGTATTCGTGCTTCACCAAAAAGTTTAGTATGTCTATGAATTCTGTGTAGTTGTACGGAATCATGACCTGTGTGAGATTCCAGCATCGATAATCAAGATTCGAGAATATATATATATATATATATATATATATATATATATATATATATATATACAACTATGTTTTAAGGAAATGTGATGTGATACGCGCGACCACATGGCACATACCATGTCAATGCCGGCGTTAATGGCTTCCTGGATGGAGTACGTGTAGTTAGCGTGCGGTGGATATGTAATCCTATCGATCCCTTCCCAGTCTGAGATAACGAAACCCTAAAGATAACGCCGGAAAACGTCAGTCTGATGAGAGAGAACGTTTACCATCTGTTTGGTACGTTAACCCTTCTTTCACGTCAGCGTTACCTGGAAACGAAGCTTCTTCTTCAGGAAAGACGTAATGAGATCGTAGTTGGCGTGCATTTTGAGACCGTTCCAGCTCGAGTAGGAGGCCATAACGGTGGAAACTCCTTTCGCCAAGGCACGGTGGTACCTATTAGGGTATAATTGTAGATACAAGATTAGGATTTTACCTAGGGCTGTAACTCTACAGGGGAAGGCGTTCAGATAGTACCCAGGCATGTGGATATCGAGCAAACCCTTCTTGTCTATGATCGTGTTGTTCTCGTTGATACCTCGAACTGTTCCTCCGTCTCCCACGTAGTGCTTTGCACAAGCCACCACCTTTGTCCTACGCAGCATATATATTACGCACACAAATGTGAGTTATCTCATTTCGGTTTGGTCGGATCTTGCTTTGCACAAGCCACCACCCTTTGTCGATTTCAGTGTTACATTTACTATTTTCGTTGAGCTAGAAAGAGCATTGGGTCATGAATATAGCTAGTGTTTTTTGTTCCCATAGTCGGATTTTGGCCATTGGTTGGCGAAGTCGAAGATTACGTGATTTCAACCATGGGATTTCCGTATTATCTTACAATTAACGAGGGATGTGTCCTTACTTGTCAGCCATGAAGGGAGTTCCCGGAGGAAGGTTTGATGGAAGTTCTCCTTGTAAGCCGGGAATGATCTCAGTCATCTCTTCCACGATTCTTGGATCTTCGCTGTAACTCTCGTAACATCGACCCCATCTCGGATCTCTGCAAACCTTTTGTCATGAAAAGGAATACCTTCAAATCAATCGAGAGTTCAAAATTCTTTTTCAATGAAAGTTGAATAAAAGGCTTTCAAGAAAATGATTTCTGTATGAGGTTGAACCCTATACCTAATAATGCATTCCTAAGACGTTGTTAGTTCGGCATACTTGTCAGCTAAGCAACCTTCTGACTTGTAACCTAAGCAACCTTCTAGGGTTTTCAGTCAAAGGCGCGACATATTTTTTTGCAAATAATATGTCCTCCGTAGGAAGATAATTCCGCTGAAAGCACGATTAAATCTCTGTAGGGGTTATTTGGATCGAATTTTCGGACACGTTTTTTGTTTTGTTCGAATCTTTATACATAATGAAACCAAAATTCATGGATTTTTTTTTAAGTTTATGTTTTTTAAGGATATTGTCCCTATTAATAGATAAGTATTAATTTTATTTATGTATCACAATAATAACAAATCAACGTCGTATTATTAACATCTCGATAATAATTTTTTTTTTAAAATATCCGACGCTACACATATATAAAAAGAATCGGTGGGGGTTTATTTTTCGTACCGCGACGCAAGGAGCGAAAGTGTAAGGAATG